TCCAGAAGGCTCAAACCACACACCCACGTGCTGACTCACGAGGGGTCGCACGCCCACCAAGTTCCGGGAGAACGAGGGGACGTGAAACCCAGTGAGAGACCCAGAAGGAGCAGCAGCAGCAGCAGCAGCAGCAGCCGTCTCCTCCTCCTGTCTCGGGTCTTCGGACCCTTGGTCTCCCCTCTCCCTCTCCTTCCTCCTCCCCCTCTCCTCCCGTCTCTGGTCCTCCGCTTCCTCCTCCTGACCCCTCTCCCGCTGTTTTCCCTCGTTCTCAGTCTTCGTTGTCCCCTCCTCCTTCTCAGACTTGGGCCTCTCGTCGCTCCCCTCGTGCTCGTCCCTCGTCTCCTGTTCCCTTCACTGACCTTCGTACTGCCTTACTTTGTTCTCGTCCACCTCGACCGTCTCCGTCTGTGCTTCCGTCTCCTCCTGAGTCTGCCCTCACTGCGTCGCTTCCTACTCCTGTCACTGACTACTACCGCACGTACCGTCCTGTTCTCTCTCATGTTCTCGCCTCTCTTGTTACTCACCCTCGTGCCTCTCTGTCCTCTGTCTCCGCTCTTACTGCCGCAGTCACTGACTTTGCCTCTACCCGCCGCCTTGACTTCGCCACCGGTCTTGTGGCTGCTCCTCCTTCCAGTCCTCTGGCCGTCGGGGGTGTGTCTGCCCTTGGCTGTGACGCCCTAGAGGACAGGCAGTTTGAGCTAGAGTTCCTGGCAGCCGCTTCCCCTCATCTCTGTGCCATGCTCCTCGCCCCTGAGGGTGACCCCGACGCCCTTGACATTCCGACTCCTCGCACTTACGCTGAGGCAGTGTCAGGGCCTTGGGCCTCTCAGTGGAGAGCTGCCATGGACGTAGAGATGGCCTCCTACAGATCCACAGGCACCTACGTCGATGAGGTTCCCCCCCTTGGGGCGAACGTAGTCGACGGCATGTGGATCTACAGGGTGAAGCGGCCACCGGGATCTCCCCCGGTCTTCAAGGCGCGCTACGTGGCTAGGGGCTTCAGTCAGCGCGAGGGAGTTGACTTCTTTCAGACCTTCGCGCCCACCCCGAAGATGACTACTCTTCGGGTGTTACTGCACGTAGCAGCACAGAGAGACTACGAGTTACACTCTCTCGACTTCTCCACTGCTTTCCTTCAGGGCAGCCTACACGAGGAGGTCTGGCTGCGTCGTCCCTCTGCCTTCACTGGCACCTTCCCTCCTGGGACCCAGTGGAGGCTGAGGCGACCTGTCTACGGTCTTCGCCAGGCCCCTCGTGAGTGGCACGACACTCTGCGTTCTACCCTCTCTGACCTTGGGTTCCAGCCTTCTTCTGCTGACCCGTCGCTGTTCGTTCGTCGTGGCTCCACACCTTTCTTTGTTCTGGTCTACGTTGACGACCTCGTTTTCGCCACTGCTGACAGGGTTGCTTTGGCACACGTGAAGTCCGAACTGCAGAAGAGACACACCTGCACTGACCTTGGTGAGCTGCGCCACTACCTTGGCCTGCAGATCACCAGGGACAGAGCTGCTCGCACCATTACACTTTCACAGTCACACATGGTGCAGCAGGTTCGGGCTTCAGCACTCCACAGTACAGCGCACACCTCTTGCTGTTGACCACAGACTCACTGGACCCTTTCCTGACGAGCCGTTTGAGCCTAGTGGTCCCTACGCAGAGCTTGTGGGTTGCCTCATGTACCTGATGACTTGTACTCGCCCGGACCTTGCCTTCCCTCTCAGTGTCCTGGTGCGCTTTGTTGCGCCAGGGAGACACCGCCCTGTTCACTGGACAGCAGCTGTGAGGGTGGCGAAGTACCTAGCGACGACATCAGGCGTGGGGCTAGTTCTTGGAGGGCAGCAGTCTGTCGTACTTACTGGTCACTGTGACTCTTCTTACGCTGACGACGCTGAGACTCACAGGTCTACTCAGGGGTACTGTTTCAGCCTGGGTTCTGGAGCTGTTTCCTGGCGGTCCACGCGCTCCTCTTCGGTCTCGACCTCTACAGCTGAGGCTGAGATCTATGCTGGTGCCATGGCGGCACAGGAGCTGCGTTGGTTGACCTTCTTGCTCGCCGACCTTGGTGAGCGGCCGAGCTCTGCACCGACCTTGTTCGCTGACAACAAGGCGTCGATTCTCCTTTGTCGAGAGCCGCGACTGGAGAGCAGAGTGAAGCACATTCACGTCAGGTACTTTCTTCTGCGAGAGGTGCTGTGTGCAGTTAGGCCTTGTTGACACTGGTTCTCGTCTTGCTTAGACTTGAGTGCACTGTTTACTTTGCTTGTACGCTTTCTATATATCTTTGTTATATCTTGGACTGGCCTTGTGGCCACTGGTGCTTGTGCTCAGAGAGTGTGGTGACATTGTGATCCACCCTGAGCTTTGTTTCTTGGACTGGTCTTGTGACCGTACTCTTTTGATTCTGCTAGACACCCCTCACCTAGGCTATGGGGGTGTGTCAAATGTGGTAGCCTATAGTGAGGTTTGTCTTAGGGAGTACAAAAGTTAGGGTTAGCTACTTGTACCCCAACCAACATGAATGCATCATCAATTCCTCAGTTCGACAGTCTGTAACAACTTTCACTTTTTTCGCTAAGGGCTTTTCTCAGCCCAACAACTCGTCTGTTGTTATGCTGTTAAGAAATCCATGTACCGTAGTAGTTTCAAAACCGAAATATAAAATAGTGAAGGCCGACCCAACTTGAAATGGCCGCGATAAGTTCGGCTGATACAACACTGTTCCTAACAAAACGGTTAGGCAGGTTGAACTCATCTGATTGGCTCACACCAATCTGAAAATTTTGGCTCCCGCCAAAACGATTATGCATGATCGTTTCAGCCGTCGCATTTTGGCTCGCTACACCCGCACGAACGGAGCCAGGCGATGGACCATCGCCTGGCCCAACTTCCATTCAAGATGGAACTGGGTGAATGACTACCTGATCTCTGGTCCCGAAGTCACCATCGTTTTACGTAGCATAGTAGCAAAGCTTAGAGAGCCTAAATGCTTCCCGCCTAGGCACGTAAGTATCGAACTAGCTCGCGCGCGAAATGTATTAAACATTGTTTAGTATAGTAATTACTTTTCTCTTATCGCGCAAGTGTTACCCTAACCATTCACCTGCGCTGCCGTCGCGCTTCGCCCTCCTGTCGCGCTTCATCTCCTCTCGCCTAGTCACGTAAGTATCTCTTCTCCTCCCGTCACCCTTCCCGTCGCCCTCGCTCTCTCCTCTCCCACCCAATCTCCCCTCCCTTCCCGTCGCCCTCGCTATCTCCACTCCCACCCAATCTCCCCTCCCTTCCCGTCGCCCTCGCTCTCTCCTCTCCCACCCAATTTCCCCTCCCTTCCCGTCGCCCTCGCTCTCTCCTCTCCCACGCGATCTCCCCTCCCTTCCCGTCGCCCTCGCTCTCTCCTCTCCCACCCAATTTCCCCTTCCTAGGCCGTCGCCCTCGCTCTCTCCTCTCCCACGCAATCTGCCCTCCCTTCCCGTCGCCCTCGCTCTCTCCTCTCCCATCCAATCTCCCCTCCCTTCCCGTCGCCCTCGCTCTCTCCTCTCCCACGCAATCTCCCCTCCCTTCCTGTCGCCCTCGCTCTCTCCTCTCCCACCCAATCTGTCCTCCCTTCCCGTCGCCCTCGTCGTCCTCGCGCTCGCCCCGAAATACCCTCCGGTCGCATTTCGTATTTTATCTCACATTAGGCACCTCAACCCCCTCGCGCTCTCCTCGAAACGCCCTCCCGTCGCCCTTCCGTCATCCTTCTCGTCACCATCGCGCTCTACCATTTCGCGATTTTGGTCACACATTTTTTTCCACGCGTCCTCCTTTGTGTCGCCCTATCTCTCTCGTATCTCGTCACCATGAGATTCTCTGTTGTTTTCCTCCTCGGGTTTCATATGTTGTTACTGCAGATCACAAGCCCATGTCGAAGGTGGTCCTTGTGCGTAAATTGCACATGCTGCTGTTCCAGTCGAAATTTGCATGCCATGTGTGTGGGATTTGCACGTCGCAAACTTGCGACACATTTGCCCATACAAGCGACGATTGTTGATTCGTAAAATTTAGTGAAGGACTCGACCTGCGTCGGCAAAAACATTACGGAAAAGCACTTCAACTTCCCAAAGTCAGCTAGATGTTTCAAGTGGACCCAACTAGAAGGGGGGGGTCACTATTTTAGCTGCTGGCTTTAAGTTTGTACAAACTCCCTGGTGGTTGCAAGCTCTGATGGACTTCAACATTCAAATATCGCAGCAGATCAAGCACACAAGGCATCCAAGCATCCTTCGCCTCCATGCTCCACCCCTTCCATTCCCACTGCTGCTGCTGCACAAGCCTCGCCCAATTCCCTGTTTTCAAGGAGAGCACAGTGCGACGCGGCACACCACTCGAAATGGTCTTTGTTGGTGCCAAATGGACCCCCAGTCGCATCGCCAGCCCCTCTCCAACGCCAATGCGTTGGTATACAGATGTGCCAGCCAAAGAGATGAGTAGAGGTTGCTGACCGTGTGCAGAAATGGAACGCGTTCCACAAATGTGTATCGGTATGGCCAATGGCCTCTAATCAGACGTATGTCGTTGGTGGAAGTATCAGTAGACTTGCACTGCGAGATTCTCAATTGATCCTAAGGGGGTTAGAGGCATGTTAACCTGAGAAGGTTTGGGCGCACTGACCCGCATTAGGAACAAGCATGTTTATCGCAGTGGTCTAGCGGCTGGGGATTCTAACAGATGGATGGATCACATCAATCTGCTGTTGTTGGTGAATTGCTAAGGAGATGGGACGGTTCTTTGGTTGGGAGATGAAGTTGGTACACATTGGCAGGGTTGAGATGACTCTTTGCTTAACTAAACGCCTTGATTCAAGCTTAGCTCGCTCACACACATCTGAGCTCTTCCTAGGCTTCGTCAATTTCAAAAGTGGTTATTGTACAGAACCTTCCTCCTGGCTGCGGTATGAGACTTGCAGTGCGAAGAAAGCAGCTCATGGCATGGCATGGGGTGGGATGCGCCTGCACCACCGCCCACTACGCCCCCAGCTGCTTCATGAGCTCCGCCCTGCCCACAGCCAGTGCCTCCGACAGCTTCTCCGGCTGCCTGCCCCCCGCCTGCGCGAAGTTGGGGCGCCCCCCTCCCCCTCCCCCACACACACGTGCCATGGCGCCCGCCAGCTTGCCCGCATTCACGCCCGCCTTCACCACCTGCGGGACACGAGGGAGAGGAGAAGGGGACACGCGGGAGAGGAGAAGGGGACACGCGGGAGAGGAGAAGGGGACACGCGGGTGGGGCAAGAGGAAGGGGACACATGAATGGGGAGCAGGCAACACGGAGGGGCACATGAATGGGGAGCAGGCAACACTGAGGGGCACATGGGTGGGAGCAGGCAACACGGAGGGGCACATGGGTGGGAGCAGGCAACACGGAGGGGCACATGGGTGGGAGCAGGCAACACGGAGGGTTGTGGAGAATGAATGGTGGGTGGTGCAGAGGCGAAGTGCAGGACGTGAGGGGGGGAGCAGCGTGACCGGGAGCATGAGCGCGCTGCAGGCAGCAGCCACTCACCGCGGGGCTGAGCAGAGCCACGATGGCCACCTTGCCCTCCTCGCTGCTGCCCGACGCCAGCACCACCGCACTCTCACTGCTGCCGCCCGCACTGCCCGCCGAGAGCTGTGCTGCCAGGCTCTCTGCGGCCGTCTTGAGGGCGTCCGCTGTCACCCCTGGCAGCTCTGCCACCAGCACGCTGAGAGCGGTGAGGGCGAAAGGCGGGAAGGGGAGAAAAGGGGAAGGGGATGGAGATGGGCTTGTTGCGTTTGGAGTCGACTCAAAGGTCGTCTGCTGTAACCTCCGGCAACTTAGCCACCAGCACACTGAGAGCGGTGAGGGGGAGAGAGAGGGGGAATGGGCTTGTTGCGTTGTGTGGAAGGTGGAGAGGATGTGGGAGGGGTGTGTAGGGAAGTGAGGCACGTGTAATGGGGTGAATGGTAGGCACGTGTAATGGGGTGAATGGTAGGCACGTGTAATGGGGTGAATGGTGGGCTCCAACCATTCCCTCCCATGCACGCCCCACCCATGGCATGCACGCCCCACCCATGACATGCACGCCCCACCCATGACATGCACGCCCCACCCATGACATGCACGCCCCACCCATGACATGCACGCCCCACCCATGACATGCACGCCCCACCCATGACATGCACGCCCCACCCATGACATGCACACCCCACCCATGACATGCACACCCCACCCATGACATGCACGCCCCACCCATGACATGCACACCCCACCCATGACATGCACGCCCCACCCATGACATGCACGCCCCACCCATGACATGCACGCCCCACCCATGACATGCACGCCCCACCCATGACATGCACGCCCCACCCATGACTTCCGTGCCCTCCTGCCCGCCTTCCCCCCATGCGCGCTTCCACCTACCCCATGCCCTCCCCCCCCAGCTCACCGGCACCCTATGGCCCCCACGGTCTCGGCCTGCCCCAGCAGCAGCTGGGAGCGCGCCACAGCCAGGTCGCCCCTTAGGCTCTCCGCCTCACTCCTTGCCGCCCGCAGCTCCTCCTGCAGCACCGCCACTCGCGCTGGCACCTCCTCCGCCTTCACCTGCTCGCCCAACCACACGGGCCCCCAAGCAGCGTGCGGATGGGGATGCACCAAGAGTTGGGGGGGTTGTCGGAAAGGAAGGAGGAAAGAGGGGGTGTGACGAGCAGTGGTGTGGTTAGTGGTGCCACCAGGCTCTCTGCCTCGCTCCTCACTGCCCGCATCTCCTCCTGCTGCACTGCCACTGCCTCGTACAGTAGTGCCACTGCCTCGTACAGTAGTGCCACTGCCTCGTACAGTAGTGCCAGGAGGAGGGGAGCGGAAGGAGAGAAGGCATTGTGTGTGGACTGAGAGAAATGGAAAAAGAGTGGGTGGAGAAAGAGTGGGTGGAGAAAGAGTGTGTGGGAAGGAGAATGTGCGGAAAGCATGTGTGGAAAAAGAGTGGAGGTCAGAGAGCATGCCATGGGGGAGGGAGGGCAGCGTCTTAACAACCTTTCACGGTTGAGCAGGCTGAGTAGCACAATGAGGTGTGCAGAGCGGTGCAACGAGGATTGAAGAGCGGACATGCGGGTCCGCGATGAGAAAGTGAAGAGAAAGGCGGGATGAATGCAAGCTGAGGGAGGAGGAGAGCGCACCTTGAGCGAGGAGGAGAGCGCACCTTGAGCGAGGAGGAGAGCGCACCTTAAGCGAGGAGGAGAGCGCACCTTGAGCGAGGAGGAGAGCGCACCTTGAGCGAGGAGGAGAGCGCACCTTGAGCGAGGAGGAGAGCGCACCTTGAGCGAGGAGGAGAGCGCACCTTGAGCGAGGAGGAGAGCGCACCTTGAGCGAGGAGGAGAGCGCACCTTGAGCGAGGAGGAGAGCGCACCTTGAGCGAGGAGGAAAGCGCCTTGACGACCCCGTCCCACTGGTGCAGCAGGTCCACGGCCGCCTCGCCCGCCACGGCCTCAATGCGCCTCACACCCGCTGCGATGCCGGCCTCGGAGAGCAGCTTGAAGGCGCGGATGTGCGCCGTGTTGGCGACGTGCGTGCCGCCACACAGCTCCATGCTGATGCCCGGCACGTCTATCACGCGCACCTGTTGCCGTGGGGAGACGGGAGGAAGAGGGGGGCGGCGAGGGGGATAGGTGTGTTGGAGTCGGCTCACGTGCTCACGTGCTCGCTACCACGCACAGACACCCCTCGGAGCGCCGCTTGAGGTTCGCTTGAGCCCTGTGCCCCCCTGCCCTCTCCTGCTCACCCTCTCACGTGTGTGCGTGGCGACTCCACAACACAACGCAGACGGTGTCAGCACACTCACACCATCCAACCCCATGCCCATGCTCCTCCCCACCCGCCCCCTCACAGCATACCTCGTCGCCATACTTCTCCCCAAACATGGCAATCGCCCCAGCCGCCTTGGCGTCAGCAATGGGCATGACGGCCGCGGTGACATCAGCGCCAGCGGCGATCCACTTGTTCACGCGAGCCTCCACGGCAGAGAGCTCGGAGGGCGTGAGGGCGCGCGGGAAGTGGAAGTCAAAGCGCAGGCGGTCGAACGCCACCAGACTGCCCGCCTGCGCCACGTCCGGCCCCAACTGCTCTCGCAGCGCTGCTTGCAGCAGATGCGTTGCTGTGTGGTGCGCCTGGAGAGGGAGAGGGAAAGGGTAATGGAGAGGAGGGACAGAAAGGAGCGATAAGGATGAGGCGTGTCAGGACGATTGAAGATAGCAAATGGAGGGGAAGTGCGGGCAATACAATCTCACCATCCAGCCTCAACCCTCACCTCTGCCCTCACCCCTCCCATGCCCCCTCACCTGTGCTCGCAGCCGTTGCTCCTCATCCACCACGGCCTCCACCTCATCGCCCACACACACCTCCCCCTCCTCCACCTCCCCCCGGTGCAGCCACAGCCCTCCCCCCGCCCGCTGCACATCCCTCACGTGCACCACCCCCCCCTCCCCCTCCCCCTCCGCCCCCTGCAGCACGCGCATGTGCCCCCAGTCGGCGATCTGCCCGCCCCCCTCCGCATACAAGGGAGTGCGCGCCAGCACCACGTCCACGTGCTGCCCCGCTGCTGCACGCTCCACCACCTTGCCGTCCACCACGAGCGCCAGCACGGGCGAGGAGGACGCGAGGGACGAGTACCCCACGAACTCGGTCTCGGGCACCTGCCCCGCCAGGTCCGCTGCTGCCCCGCCCACCGCCAGCTTGATGGCACTGTGCGCCGCCTGGGGGAGTGTGGGAGGGAGGGGAGGGATGTGGACAGAGCGGAGCAGCAAATTAAGTTTCAAAAGAGAGGCATACGGAGGGAGAGAGGCATACGGAGGGAGAGAGGCATACGGAGGGAGAGAGGCATACGGAGGGAGAGAGGCATACGGAGGGAGAGAGGCATACGGAGGGAGAGAGGCATACGGAGGGAGAGAGGCATACGGAGGGAGAGAGGCATACGGAGGGAGAGAGGCATACGGAGGGAGAGAGGCATACGGAGGGAGAGAGGCATACGGAGGGAGAGAGGCATACGGAGGGAGAGAGGTTGGAGGGAGGAGGGATTGAAGTGAGAAGGGCTGATACCCACTGCCCACTGCCCACTGCCTGCTTGCCTATGCTGGCGCACGAATTGTGCTGGGATTTGTCAGAATGGTGAAGGGAGGAGAGATGCAGCGAGAAAGATCAATGCCCAATGCATTCGAATCGTAGTTCCAACCTAGCTTCCCGATGGGCGCACATCATCTTGCCCAACCAATCCTCCTCCTCCCTCCACCTTCCTAGCTCAACCGTCTGAACTCCCGCTGTTGTTCCAATAACAATTTCAGTTGACAATCTCATCCTCATGTGCATACCCAACTCACCGATGAGCACAACATCTCCACCAACCTCCCAACCAACCCTCCCCCTCGTCCCACATTCCTAGCTCAGCTCTCTACTCTCCAGTTTCCGTATCCAAACCACAATTCCACTGTTCACGCTCATCCTCACACGTGTACCTGCGACTGTTTCCGCTGTGCCGCCATCTGTTGCTCAAAGCCAGCCATGTCCACGGCCACGCCCCTCTCTCTCGCCACCTCCTCTGTGATCTCCACAGGGAACCCATACGTGTCGTACAGCACAAACGCATCCCGCCCACTCAACACCGCCCCTGCTGGGCTCGCAACTCCTTCCCCATCCTCCCCTCCTGCAGCAGCACCACCATCAGCGGCGCTATGAGCGGCCTGAGAGAGCGCCTGTGAGAGAGCCTGTGAGAGCAGGGAGTCGAGCATCTTCTCGCCGCGCTCCAGCGTGGCCACAAACCGCTCCTCCTCGCGCCGCAGCTCGTCCACCACTCGCTCTGCTCGCTCCCCCACGTTGCTGTTGATGTCCCCGCTCATCGCTATCACCTGGTACAGGGGAGGGGGGAGTTGTGGGAAGCTTGGGCGTACATGGCATTAGGTGGGGCGCGCAGGGGAGGAAGTACAGGGCCCCACTGACAATGCTGCTCGTGACTGCTCCGGCCCTGTAAGCTGGCACCGGGGGGAAGGAAAGGAGACAGAGGGGTTTAGACGAGAAGCGGGAAAGGTGAAGGAGAGTATGAAGGAGAGTATGAAGGAGAGTATGAAGGAGAGTATGAAGGAGAGTATGAAGAGGTAGAGAAAAGAGGCGCAGCACAGGTACGGTACATGAAGTGGGGGGTAGTGGAAGCAGGAAGAGCCATGCATGCAGTGCAGTGGCAAAGAAACAGATGGAAGGAGTGGGAGGTTGAATGCCACACCTTTCGAGCGATGATTGGCAGGAAGGCAGAGTCGCCGCCTGCAGCAGTACTGCCATTGCCATTGTCGCTGTCGGTGGCGGTGTGAGTGGAAGTGCTGGCGTTGATCCCGAGCAGCCTGGCGGTGCGCACAAGACGGCGCACGAGGCGGCGCACGACGTAGCCGCGGCCGAGATTGGAGGGCGACACGCCGTCCGCCACGAGATGCACCACCGCCCTCGCATGGTCGCCTATCACCTGCACCGGCAACGGGGACGGGATGCCGGGAGGAGCAGCACGATAAGGCGATAACCCTGAGCCTCCTAACTTTATGCAAGCTTCAGGGTTGTGCTAGAATACCTTTACTATTCTAGTCTCACTCTTGAGAATTCTCAAAAGTGAATACCTATACTATTCTAGTCTCTTGCATAAGCTAGTTCTTTTTAGTAGAGTTAACATCCACATTTACCTTGTGTGTACGGCATTAACCCCCAATGGATGGGGTTGGGGGACTGGTGGCACCCTGAACGATATTGGTTCCCTTGGGTTGATATTGGCAGCCCCCAAGAACCCTACAATCAAACTAATAGTCTTGGCCAAGCTCCCAAGCACCCCCCACACGTGTAAGAAGCGCGCCCCACCTTGAGCATGCGCTTGGTGTCGTCATCCGCGCTGTGGTAGTCCACACCCGCCAGCTCTGCTGCGCACTGCACGATGGGGAAGATGAGGTCCGTCTCGTAGTTGCTCGGCACCTGCCGGGGCAGTGGGTATGCGGGCAAGGGGGTATGCGGGCAAGGGGGTATGTGGGCAAGGGGGTATGCGGGCAAGGGGGGATGTGGGCAAGGGGGTATGTGGGCAAGGGGGTATGTGGGCAAGGGGGTATGTGGGCAAGGGGGTATGCGGGCAAGGGGGGATGTGGGCAAGGGGGTATGCGGGCAAGGGGGTATGTGGGCAAGGGGGTATGTGGGCAAGGGGATATGTGGGCAAGGGGGTATGTGGGCAAGGGGGTATGTGGGCAAGGGGGTATGCGGGCAAGGGGGTATGCGGGCAAGGGGGTATGCGGGCAAGGGGGTATGTGGGCAAGGGGGTATGTGGGAAAGGGGGTATGTGGGCAAGGGGGTATGTGGGCAAGGGGGTATGCGGGCAAGGGGGTATGTGGGCAAGGGGGTATGCGGGCAAGGGGGTATGTGGGCAAGGGGGTATGCGGGCAAGGGGGTATGCGGGCAAGGGGGTATGTGGGCAAGGGGGTATGCGGGCAAGGGGGTATGCGGGCAAGGGGGTATGTGGGCAAGGGGGTATGTGGGCAAGGGGGTATGCGGGCAAGGGGGTATGCGGGCAAGGGGGTATGCGGGCAAGGGGGTATGCGGGCAAGGGGGTATGTGGGCAAGGGGGTATGCGGGCAAGGGGGTATGCGGGCAAGGGGGTATGCGGGCAAGGGGGTATGTGGGCAAGGGGGTATGTGGGCAAGGGGGTATGTGGGCAAGGGGGTATGCGGGCAAGGGGGTATGTGGGCATGGGGGTATGTGGGCAAGGGGGTATGTGGGCAAGGGGGTATGTGGGCAAGGGGGTATGCGGGCAAGGGGGTATGCGGGCAAGGGGGTATGCGGGCAAGGGGGTATGTGGGCATGGGGGTATGTGGGCAAGGGGGTATGTGGGCAAGGGGGTATGTGGGCAAGGGGGTATGTGGGCAAGGGGGTATGTGGGCAAGGGGGTATGCGGGCAAGGGGGTATGTGGGCATGGGGGTATGTGGGCAAGGGGGTATGTGGGCAAGGGGGTATGTGGGCATGGGGGTATGTGGGCAAGGGGGTATGTGGGCAAGGCGGTATGTGGGCATGGGGGTATGTGGGCATGGGGGCACGCCATGTGGGCATGGGGGCACGCCACGTGGGCATGGGGGCACAGGGAGTGAGACGGGTGAGGAGAGATGTGGGTGAGATGTGGGTGAATGTGGAAATGGCATCTTGGCAGGATGAGCATCTTGGCAGGATGAGCATCTTGGCAGGATGAGCAAGGTACGAACCGGACCACAGCTGGTTCAGGTCAAACCCAACTGCACTAAAGTACTCTGCTCAAACCCAACTGCACTAAAGTACTCTGCTCACTCAACCGTAATGGGGTGGGGGGATATGCTCCTCATGCGTTAGCCAGAGATACTGCCAACGTGCCACTAAGTAATTAGCCTGCTTACAACATGCGTGTCAGCACTGGTGCTTCCAGCATTCAACTCCACGCTACTTAAGTTCATGCAACCATCCTTAAGTTCACACATGCAAGCACACCAGCAGCACATGCAGTGCTATCACCAGCATAGCCACAGCAGCATAGCCAACCAACCGCATACCACCAGCAGCACACCCAGCAGCACCCGTCAGTGTGAGTCACCAGCAAGCAAGCAGCGCACGGTGCACGGCTCACGTCACCTGCTGCAGGATCTGAGCAAGGCGCTCAAGGCCGAGCCCCGTGTCGATGTTCTTGCACCGCAGCGCCTCCAACGCCCCGTCCTCACGCCGGTTGCTCTCCATGAACACGAGGTTGTAGAACTCTATGAAGCGCGAGTCGTCGCCCAGATCCTGAGGTGGACGCCCGGGGGTGACGAGGCCATGGGCACGGCGATGAGGCAGAGGGCAGGGGGCAGAGGGCAGGGGGGACAGGTGACAGGGGACAGGGGACAGGGGACAGGGGACAGGGGACAGGGGACAGGGGACAGGGGACAGGGGACAGGGGACAGGGGACAGGGGACAGGGGACAGGTGACAGGGGACAGGGGACAGGGGACAGGGGACAGGTGACAGGGGACAGGGGACAGGGGACAGGGGACAGGGGACAGGGGACAGGGGACAGGGGACAGGGGACAGGTGACAGGTGACAGGTGACAGGGGACAGGTGACAGGGGACAGGGGACAGGTGACAGGGGACAGGGACAGGGGACAGGGGACAGGGGACAGGACAGGTGACAGGTGACAGGGGACAGGGGACAGGTGACAGGGGACAGGTGACAGGGGGCAGGGGGCAGGGGGCAGGGGACAGGGGACAGGGGACAGGTGACAGGGGACAGGGGACAGGTGACAGGGGACAGGGGACAGGGGACAGGTGACAGGGGGCAGGGGGCAGGGGGCAGGGGGCAGGGGACAGGGGACAGGTGACAGGGGGCAGGGGGCAGGGGGCAGGGGACAGGGGACAGGGGACAGGGGACAGGACAGGGTATGGGAGGAGCAGAGCGGTGATGTGGCAGGCATGGGGCTGCCATCGTGCTTGCAGTGTGCAGTGCCCCCAAGCTGATGCTACACTCACGGCGCCCTGGGTGCAGTGGTCCCGCCGCCCGCACGCACACAGCACAGCCATACATGAAAGCAGCACCCCCAGCCCAGCCCAGGTACTGACAGCGCCGTGGATGCACGGCACGGCCCACACGGCCAGCGCATGTACGCATGAGCGCCGCCCCCCACTGGTATGTACAGCCAGGTACTCACCGCCCCCTCAGTGCCCCGCTCAGGGTGGAAGTCGTAGTAGAGCTCGCTGCACGGCCCACACGGCCCCGTGGGCCCGCTCGCCCAGAAGTTGTCCTCCTCGCCCAGCCGCTGTATGCGCTCCGGCGCCACTCCCACCTGGTGTTTCCGATGGGAGGATTTGTGTGGGTGCGGCAGGTTTTGATTCGACTCAAAAGGGAGCGAATGGATTTTGGAAATTCCCAGAAGTTGTGGTCGTCGGCCAGGCGGTGAATGCACTCTGCACTCACGCCCGCCCACCTGCTGTTGTTGACGAGGGGTGGGGACGGTGGGGGTGCGAGTGGGGAAACGGAACGGGTACAGACTTTTTAATTAAGTGTGTGAGCTGAGCAGAAGCTGTGGTGACAAAGCAGTGTCTGTGTGCGTGCGGTGCGCTTAGTGGCAGTCCCGTGTGGTAATGTGCGGGCGGGGAGAGTGAGACACAGCAACCCCCAGTGAAAGGCAGCGCAGGCGTACCTGTGAATTTAAGCATAGAGCAGGGCGGGGGGGAGAGCAAACAGAAGAGAGTACAAGTAACATCAGTTGCAATCCTTACTGCCTGCCCATGTGCCGCACACGGACGAGACACGGACGAGCAGCAGCAGCAGCAGCAGCAGCAGCAGCAGCAGCAGCAGCAGCAGCAGCAGCAGCAGCAGCAGCAGCAGCAGCAGCAGCAGCAGCAGCAGCAGCAGCAGCAGCAGCAGCAGCAGCAGCAGCAGCAGCAGCAGCAGCAGCAGCAGCAGGGGGGGGGAGGAAGGCGGGGGTGGGAGGCGGGGGTGGAAGGCGGGGCGGGGGTGGAAGGCGGGGCAGTAGTAGCAGCGGGGGCAGCGGGCACAGACCTGGTCCTTCCAGATGGCGTACGTCTCGTCGTCGTCGCGGAAGACGCTAACCCAGATGCGCTCCTCTGGTATGCCGAACCTGCCCTCGCACCACACAGACACGTGAGGGGGGTGCGGCAGAGCAGAGCAGAGCAGTGCGGTGCGCATGAGCAATGGATGGCGCATGAGCAATGGATGGCGCATGAGCAATGGATGGCGCATGAGCAATGGATGGCGCATGGCATGTCACATGCAGGGAGGGGTGGGGTGGTGTGGGCACTGGCCACACGGATGATGCGCCGTACAGGTGGGGTGGGTCCGCCCAAGGTGGATGCAGTGGCAAGGCAAGGCAAGGCAAGGCAAGGCAAGGCAAGGCAAGGCAAGGCAAGGCAAGGCAAGGCAAGGCAAGGCAAGGCAAGGCAAGGCAAGGCAAGGCAAGGCAGGGGCATGGCAAGGCAGGGGCATGGCAAGGCAGGGACATGGCAAGGCAGGGGCATGGCAAGGCAGGGGCATGGCAAGGCAGGGGCATGGCAAGGCAGGGGCATGGCAAGGCAGGGGCATGGCAAGGCAGGGGCATGGCAAGGCAGGGGCATGGCAAGGCAGGGGCATGGCAAGGCAGGGGCATGGCAAGGCAGGGGCATGGCAAGGCAGGGGCATGGCAAGGCAGGGGCATGGCAAGGCAGGGGCATGGCAAGGCAGGGGCATGGCAAGGCAGGGGCATGGCAAGGCAGGGGCATGGCAAGGCAGGGGCATGGCAAGGCAGGGGCATGGCAAGGCAGGGGCATGGCAAGGCAGGGGCATGGCAAGGCAGGGGCATGGCAAGGCAGGGGCATGGCAAGGCAGGGGCATGGCAAGGCAGGGGCATGGCAAGGCAGGGGCATGGCAAGGCAGGGGCATGGCAAGGCAGGGGCATGGCAAGGCAGGGGCATGGCAAGGCAGGGGCATGGCAAGGCAGGGGCATGGCAAGGCAGGGGCATGGCAAGGCAGGGGCATGGCAAGGCAGGGGCATGGCAAGGCAGGGGCATGGCAAGGCAGGGGCATGGCAAGGCAGGGGCATGGCAAGGCAGGGGCATGGCAAGGCAGGGGCATGGCAAGGCAGGGGCATGGCAAGGCAGGGGCATGGCAAGGCAGGGGCATGGCAAGGCAGGGGCATGGCAAGGCAGGGGCATGGCAAGGCAGGGGCATGGCAAGGCAGGGGCATGGCAAGGCAGGGGCATGGCAAGGCAGGGGCATGGCAAGGCAGGGGCATGGCAAGGCAGGGGCATGGCAAGGCAGGGGCATGGCAAGGCAGGGGCATGGGAGGCAAAGAGTGCCCCACCACGTGGCACGCCCACAGTGGCACATCACTGAGATTGAGTTGATGGGGGAAAGTGATGTGAGCAACACGGGCAGTCAGATCCAATGGAACTACAGAAGCAGTGCCATGCCCGTGCAGTGCCATGCCCGTGCAGTGCCATGCCCGTGCACTGCCATGCCCGTGCAAGCAATCGAGCCCAAGTACCCGCATCTCACACCTGGCGCGTGCAGTGGAATGCAGTGTGCCCCGCCCATGGCAGTGTGCCCCGCCCACTGGCAGTGTGCCCCGCCAACTGGCAGTGTGCCCCGCCCACTGGCAGTGTGCTGTGCTCCACGTGCCCCCCCTCACTCACTCCTCAGTGGCGAGCTGCCACGCCCACTGGCATGCGTCCTGCTTGAAGTAGTCGCCGAAGCTGAAATTGCCGAGCATCTCAAAGAAGGTGTGGTGGCGTGCCGTGCGCCCCACGTTCTCCACGTCATTCGTCCGCACGCACCGCTGGCTCGTTGTCGCGCGCGGCACACTGGGCGGCACCTGCGGCAGGTGAGATGGCGGGCAGGTGAGATGGCGGGCAGGTGGGGAGGTGGAAGGAGAGTTAGCAAGAGGGTGGTGCTGACAGCATGCAGTGGTGACAGCATGCAGTGGTGACAGCATGCAGTGGTGACAGCATGCAGTGGTGACAGCATGCAGTGGTGACAGCATGCAGTGGTGACAGCATGCAGTGGTGACAGCATGCAGTGGTGACAGCATGCAGTGGTGACAGCATGCAGTGGTGACAGCATGCAGTGGTGACAGCATGCAGTGGTGACAGCATGCAGTGGTGACAGCATGCAGTGGTGACAGCATGCAGTGGTGACAGCATGCAGTGGTGACAGCATGCAGTGGTGACAGCATGCAGTGGTGACAGCATGCAGTGCTGACAGCATGCAGTGGTGACAGCATGCAGTGCTGACAGCATGCAGTGGTGACAGCATGCAGTGGTGACAGCATGCAGTGGTGACAGCATGCAGTGGTGACAGCATGCAGTGGTGACAGCATGCAGTGCTGACAGCATGCAGTGGTGAGTGGGTGGGTGTGGCATAGGAGGGGTGCACTGCTGGGCACCACAGGGGTGGAGGTGGGTTTCGTGGGAGTGCTGTGCGGGGACGGGGCGATGGGGCCATGGGGGGGTAATGGGGCCATGGGGGGGTAATGGGGCCATGGTATGGTAGGGAGCGATAGGGGTATGGGAGGGGGATGGAAACATGGGAGGGGAGATGGGGGCATGGGATGGGGAGATGAGGGCATGATAGATGGTGAAGGGCAGCATGCTGGCAATGGTGTTGAGGGGAGAGTGGGGTGGGGAGAGTGGGGAGGGGAGAGGGGGGTGGGGAGAGGGGGGAGGGCAAGAGGGGGGAGGGGAGACTTGGGAGGGGAGAGGGGGCAGAGGAGACGGGGGAAGCGACCTGGGCGAGGAACACTGGCTTGAAGGGCAGCATGCCGGCAATGGTGAGTAGCACGGTGGGGTCGGCGGGCACCAGCGAGGCGGACGGCAGCACGGCATGGCCCCTCGCCGCGTAGAACTCCAGGAACCGCCGCCTCAGCTCGCTGCCCGCCACCGCCGGGTCCACCGCTGCTGGCGCTGGTGGCGCCGCTGGTGATGCTGCCGGCGCTGCTGGAGGGGATGCGGGTGCTAAAGGTGCGATGGGTGGGGGCGCAGGGAGGGCGGGAGGACGCAGCAAGTGCGGATGAAGTAGGGAGGGCGGAGGAAGCAGGGGGAAGAGGGTAGCAGGGAGGGCGGTTGAAGCAGGGGGCCCGCGGGACGCAGGGAGGGCGGGGGAAGCAGGGGGGCCGCGGGAAACAAGGAGGGATGAGTGAGTGACGGAGCTGATGGGAATGAAGATGGTGGGAATAATAGGAAGGGATGAGGGGTTGGTGGGGTGATACAGGCGGAACGGGAAGCAGGGGGTGTGGAGAGCGGAGGGAGGAGGAAGGCAGAAGGACACCAGAGCGCGAGACCAGAGCACACCAGAGCGCGAGACCAGAGCACACCAGAGCGCGAGACCAGAGCACACCAGAGCGCGAGACCAGAGCACACCAGAGCGCGAGACCAGAGCACACCAGAGCGCGAGACCAGAGCACACCAGAGCGCGAGACCAGAGCACACCAGAGCGCGAGACCAGAGCACACCAGAGCGCGAGACCAGAGCACACCAGAGCGCGAGACCAGAGCACACCAGAGCGCGAGACCACAGCACACCAGAGCGCGAGACCACAGCACACCAGAGCGCGAGACCACAGCACACCAGAGCGCGAGACCACAGAGGCAGGTTGGTGGGGAGGGCAGGTGGGGTAGGGGACGAGGTGGGCGAGGGGACGAGGTGGGGGAGGGGACGAGGTGGGCGAGGGGACGAGGTGGGGGAGGGAGGGAGGTGGTGAGAGCAACGAAAGGACGACAGACGCAGATCGGCCGACGAGAAAGGTGAGGGACGTGGGGACGACGGGTGGAATGCGCGAATGGAGGGACATGGCAGCACGTAGTACCTTCCGCGGTGGCGTGCCCGCCGCCATCGCCGCCAGCGTCAGCTGCCGCCCGCACCGACGCAGAGCGCGATAAAGCGGACCGCGACGACGCGCGCCGAGCGGTGAGAAGGGAGACGCGCGGTGCGGAGGAGAGGAGCGAGGGGGGAGGGGCGAGGGAGGGGGCGAGTCGAGATGCGTGCAGCGTCGCTGAGTGTCGTCGCGATGAGAGGCGCGAGAGGTGAGAGGGGGATGGCAGGGAGTGATGCGCGTGCGAGTGGCCTGGTGGAGGGGAGGGACGGGTGAGAGAAGCCCACAATGCGATCAACGATCTCCATCGCGCACGCGATTCATCGAAAGGGTCCTGCGATTCATCGAAAGGGTCCTGCGATTCATCGAAAGGGTCCTGCGATTCTGCCAAAAATGTGCGTGCAAGTGCGCTGCGATGAGGTCTGACCTGCGAGCACGTGGCAGCCACGTGTAGCGGGCAGCGTCCGATTGAGCAGCAAACGCCAAGACGTTGCCATGGCAATCCGCGATAAATATCGCGTCGCTTCCCAGACGAACGCTCCACTGCCAGCTCTACCGCCTTGCTAGCTCGTCTGCTACCACCTGAACTACCTAGCAGTGTCTCAGGGAACCCGATTGCTTAGGGCGCGTGTGATCAAAGTTCGAACTTCCCAAAGTTCGAACTTTTAGAAAGGTTCTACACGGTAGGATACAATTGAGCGATGTCTCTCCACGATGCAAAGCGGTTTGAGTTCGAACTTTGACAAAAATCCTTGGATCACACGCGCCCTTATTTTCTATCATTGCTCAACACGGCCACAAATTTGAATGCTAAGGGCGCGTTCGTTCTTGCCGAACCTGACTGAAAGTTCGAACTTTTGTAACGGTTCGTCACGGTAGAATACAATTAAAAACGTTTTGCCACGGTGCAAAGCGGTTTGAGTTCGAACTTTGTCAGGTTCGGCAAGAACGAACGCGCCCTAAGGGCACGTGACTTTTAGTTTGGGTTTGTTCAGCGAATTGAGCTCTAGTTGGTAACGTTTTTCGTTAGCTTCGCAATGGTCACGGGCGAAAGTACGAACTCACATGCAGCACGACACGCTCTTGACAGGCAACGCCAGCAGTTCGACTGCCGACATTCGAGCTTGCCGGACAATTTTCGCATGTGTTACACTAGCGGTGGCGGATTTGGGCATGGCTCGAACCACACGTTAGAAGCCAGCTCAAACCAGCTTCGAATGAACAGCTCAAGCCAGGGATCGAACTTGGCAAACAACATTAAAAAGTTACGCGCCTTGAAAACCAGAGGAACATCTCTGAACTGATCAACCCTATCTTGGAGTCAGGGTTTTCAGCTTAGCGGGAACAGGTATCCAGACCGGCCCGCTTTCAGGGAACATGTTCAGCTTTCTGCGCACAGTTTTCGCAAACGGTTCGGCTAGGGGGGAACAGTTATTGTTCATGTTAAGGACTCGAGCTCTCAACGAGCCACGTGTTGCATCCTACACAGCTCGCTCGCTATACATCTACAATCTCAGATTCTACACTGCGTCTGCTTGTCTTTTCTACCGAATCCATCCCACATTCGGGGTGGCTCGTCAGCCAACTGTTCCCAAACATGTAGAGTCGTTTTTTTTAACCCCTGAGAATACAGTGCACCCTTCCTGACTGAAACAAATATAACCCAATCGAGAATCGGGTGCTCATTCCCGATGTGCTGTACGTCGAGAGGTCTATGAAAGGCTTCACGCAGGACTATGGCGCCGACTACGACGAGATGTACGCGCCGGTGAGCATCTACGTCATGCTGAGGATCTTCCTCAGCATCGTCGCCGTCCTCGACCTCAACCTGATGCAGCTCGACATGAAGAACGCCTTCCTGTAGAGCAAGCTCGACCGGGTGCTGTACATGTACCAGCCGGACTACTTCAACGACGGGTCCGATTGGGTGTGCAAGCTACTGAAGAGCCTGTACAGGCTGAAGCAGTCGCCGCTGCTGTGGTACAAGGCTCTCAACGACGTGTTGGTCAGCGTTGGGTGGAAGAAGAGCCAAGTCGACGAGGCTCTGTACTTCAAGGTCGGCGACGACAAGGTGACCTGCTGGGTGCTGGTCTACGTCGACGATCTCCTAGCCGCCAGCAGCAGCATCGAGATGCTGAAGGAGCTGAAGGAGCTGCTGGAGGCCACCTTCGAGCTGCGCGAGATCTCGCCGGTGCAGAAGTACCTCGGGCTGGAGATCGTGCGCGATAGGCCAGCAAGGAAGGTGTGGCTACACCAGCAGGGCTACGCCGACAAGCTGCGTAGGCACTTCATCGACGAGGAGCAGGGTGGTCGGACCCTGAAGACGCCGGTCTCCGTCCACGCCTACGTCGAGCTTACCTTCAACGACGAGGAGGCACAGCAGCGCCAAGAGGGGGAGTACTGGCAGAAGGTCGGCTCGCTGCAGTTCGTGGTGACGATGACAAGGCCAGACATCGCCTTCGCCTGCAGCAAGCTGGGGAGCGGCCTCACGGTGAGGAGCGACCAGCACTAGCGCGAGGTCGACTGTTGCCTTGCCTACCTCGCCAACACGCGTGACACCGCCCTGGAGTTCGGCGGTGGTCCGGAGACGCTGGAGCTGGTCGGCTACGTGGACGCCGACGATGCCGGCGACAAGCAGAACCGAACGAGCACGGGCGGCTACGTGTTCGTCTTCGGAGGGGCCGCAGTCTATTGGTTGAGCCAGCGCATCAAGTGTGCGACGCTGTCGTTCTCGACCCAGTCAAAGTACGTGGCGGCCGTCGAAGCCGGCAAGGAGGGACGCCGCCTTCGCTTCCTCCTTGCAGAGTTCCGGCAGCTGGACGCCGGGAAGCCTATCGTCTATCCTCCGGGTGGACAACAAGTCAGCCATCACGGTCGCCGAGGGCATGGGGTTGACCGGCACATGGAGCGGCGACACGCCTGGCTGCAGCACATGGTGAAGCGCGGGAAGTTTTCGCTGCAGTACATCCCGACCGCTGAGCAGCCGGCTGACTTTCTGACGAAGGCGCTGCACTATCCGGCCTTCAACCGGTGCTCCGTCGCAATCCATCGACAAAGTGCGTCTGGCAGACGTGGGCGACGGCGACGATGACGTGCAGCAGTAGGTGCCATGCCCTCTTGCATGGCTGGTGCGGTGGACGGCGTGCTGTGTGTGGGGTGCACGCCGACGAGCTATTCTCTGAGCAGTGCTGTCGTGTGGGCTGAAGGCCCAAGCGTGAATGCGGCAGGGGAGTGTCAACGGGAGTTGTGTTCGGCCCCGTCCTCGCTTGGGCGGAGCCGACTTCGTGGTCGGGTGTGAGGGGTTGCAGCCGACTTGTAGCAGTGGGTGAGCTGGTTGGCGTGGCTGGTCGACTTGCACAGGGACCACTGCAAGGGGCACCGGTCTAGGAGGGCGCCGGCTTTGGGTGGTTAACCTGGCGAGGTCGACATCAGAGGCGTCGACTTGGTGACGCCGACTTGGGGCAGCCGACTTGGGCGGTCGGCCGACAGATGTGCTGGTCGACCTGGAGTTGGTCAACCGGAAATGGCGTCAACCTGGAGTTGGTCGACCAAGGGTGTAGTCGACCTGGTAAGGTCGACTAGAGCTGGTCGTCGACTTGGGAGGTCGACGGGCATGCGATGGGGCAGCTAGTTGACGTGGTTGCCCGGTCGACCAGGTTACCTGGGTGACGAGGTTCTGCGGAGGAGTGCGACGGTCGCCCAGGTGGGAGTGGCGAGACTGGCCTCGGTAGTGGTATCCCACGTGGCTGATCAGATGCAGTGGTCAGCGGGAGGTGGACTTGGTGTCTACGCTGTGCAGGTGACAAGGCACAGCACGCCAATCATCTGTGAGCACCTGCGAAGCAGGTGCGCTGCTGTCCTGCGGGAGCAACGTTGGCACGCCGTCAACCTGCGACGTTGGCACGCCGTCGACTTGCAGCATTGGCAAGCCGCGTCTTTGCCCTACTGGAGCGCGGTCGACCAAGTCGTACTGGAACGCGGTCGACCGTGCTGCGCTGGCAGTCGACCTGCTTGCATGCTAGCTCTGATGTAGTCTTGTCTTTTCAACTTGATTGTATCATTGTTGACAACCGTTTCTTAGTGAAACTATTCTCCTAGTGAACTAGCAAGTAGTGCAACCACAAGGAAACGACTAAGTGAACGAACGTGGAGATTACCTTGAAGCCACGTGCCTAGTCCGTAGCCTAGCTCCCGTTGTAGTAGTTATCTCCGCACAAAATTCCATTGAGTTATACCTTTTGAGTAAACTTGGGACTAAACTTGAGAGAATTTCGAAACTAAGGAGCTGGCACGTGACGAGTGCAATTGAGCAAGCGATCTAGAATTCCACTATCGAAGCAAAACAATTCACCGAGCGAGGGGAGGAGCAAAGATTATATAGCGAAGCTAGTGTGGTAATGACAATGCGAGAATTTGGAGGAAATGACGCACCGGGGTGCTTTCTGTTGGAATAACCAAAAGATTATTGTAGCATTCCCAAAGGTCTCTCTTAAAGGCACCACTTCATAACGAAGCGGCACCACTGTACCAGTATCACTACATGCTCATATAGAGCACTCGGCCGCTCGAGAATCACCCGAAGGTCAACAGTCAGTGAAAGTCAATGGTCGTGACTGTTGACCGACCGACAACTGTATTAGATGTTACTCGATGCACCGTGGTAACTGTCAAGAATGGCAATAGCCTGAGTTAGTGTAGCTATGCAATATAGTTGTAATAAGGGAATGTACCCCTCAGAGTACATGGCTAGCTAAAATTCTATTTAATGTTCTTACATGTATTTCTTAATCATCTTGTTCTCTTTATCGTCTTTCTTTACAAGGTCACTACTAGACTTCATTGTCTACCTACAACTTAACAACCTTATCCTATCCACTACGATCCTTCAGTTATAACAGCATTGTATGAGAGTAAGAGTGGATTATAAGGTCTGCTAAGTTCTTGTTATTTCTAGCACAAACCGTTTATAAAACACTTATTAAATCTATTACATTCCTACATCACTAAGGCTCCTGAAGGCAAATCCACTGCAGATTCTTTGGACCACCAGCAACGACTAATGCGCCATCAGCGGTGACCTCCGTCAGCGCCGCTTTCGTTAAGCAGCTAGTAGCTCTTGAGAGCCATCGAGCCATGATCATCGTCGGCTCAAGCTACGCAAGAAGAGTTGCTGGACTCCCTCTCCTTGGAGAAGACCGCCGCATTAACTCCGAGAGGTCTTTTACCTTTGACAACCGTCAAGCTTCAGCTCCTGCACATGACATTCAACAACGGACGAACTCAGAAGCCATTCCAACCATGCAAACAAAATTCGTCCTATCTTTAAAGCTGATGACTTCGACTCCATTCGACGGCAAAGACTTTTACATGTGGAGCTTCGAATTCGAGTTTCTCACAACCACGGCTCAAATCTGGATGTACTACGACGGAAGCTTACCTTCCCTTTTAGAGGGAACCATCCAGAAGAAGCATCAGTATTTCGACGGATCTCTTCTCGCGTACACCGCTATCCTTCGAAACCTCTCCCCCACTGAGCAGCTCGACATTCGCTCCTACAAAACAGAGTGCGCTCCTGTGCAACTGTATTGGGAACACCTGCGCAATTCATATGTGGCAACGGATCGAATTACCATGAGCCAACTACTCAGTCAATTGACATCTGTTAAAATGCAACAAGGGGAGAAAGCGGGTCCCTATATCAACCGGTGTCGCAATCTGCGCGACCACATCAAGAAGTGAGGCGGAACCGTCCCTGACGATATGTTCGTCTCGATGGTTCTCTCCGGCCCTGGACCCGATTGGCGACAGTGCCAGTCTTTGCTCCGCGCTCGACCAACCATTTCTGAGTCTGCCCTTTGCGCCACTCTTCTTTCCGAGCAGAAGGAGATCGATCTGTACAATAAGAAGAACAACATGCGGGATTAGTTAGTGTTCTTCACTGGACCGACTGAAGGGGAGCAGCATGGAAAGAAGGGAACATTCTGCAAGTACTGCAAGAAACCTGGCCACACTATCGATCGGTGCTACAAGCGAAAGGCTGGTCACAAAAGGCGCAACAACTCCTCTAGTCAACAGCCTTCGGCACCCTCGGCATCTCCTACTATGACATCGACCATGTCGCCGCCTTCCGTCTCGAGCACTTCGCAAACTGCTGCGCGCAACTCAACCAAGGATCAGGGTAGGGGATCTATCTTGAGCTGCATGGCACGTCGTCGCAGAGGCATCAGACACTACGACGACATTCAATATCCGCCAATCGCGCCCATCAATCCCATCACACCAAGCCCAAACAATGATCCCATACTCAGTCTTTGGACCGACAGACCAACCAACATCCCACCTGACTTCGAGCTGCCCCCAAGCACTCTGGAGTCTCCTCCCAGCCTCCCTGCCGAAAGATACATCGACCTCTCACCTTAAACCGCTGTTTTTGATCGCATCG